GTGTGTGTGTGTGTGTGTGTGTGTGTGTGTGTGTGTGTGTGTGTGTGAGAGAGAGAGAGAGAGAGATAGACAGCGTGTATGTGAGCTTGTCGGAATTTCAGGATCAAATTCAGTTTCCTGACAGCATTCACACACTCTGCTGCATCCTCATGGTCACCCCCCCCCCCCCCCCCCCCACCCCCGGACATAGACGCACACCCACAGGAGAAGCACAATGACCCGCGCAGCCAGCTCACACACAGTGTTGCCCGCACAATGCAAAATGTCAAAAGAGAGAAGCTACAGCAGGTTGCAGAGAAGGATTTTTAGGACGTCGCTTCAGGTTTTTTTTGGGGTGCGAGCTTTTAGCAAGATGTGATGGAGGTTGTAAGAGGTTCTTCTTTTGTCAGGAGGGTGGGTCAAAGGTCGGCTCGGGCTCAGAGCGAGAGCGACGTGTCCCCAGAGAGAGCTGGGCCAATGAACTCAGCTTGACCCCTCGACAGTTTCCAATCATTGATACCTGCTGTTATCACAGAGGACACTAGGGCAGAGCAACAAACTTCAGAACATGGATTAACCCTTTGATTGAAATTCAATAACACACAAAAAAACAAATCATGAACATGAATTTGTTTTTTAAGTAGGGATGCATCAATTTATTTCTCTTCGGATACTTTGACTCAGGTCTGATACAGATCACTGATGCAGTATTAGTGCTCACTGTGATCCAAAGCTTAGACTTCCCTTCCAGACACCTTTTTAACACGTATTACAACACTCACATTTCTTCCTGAAGTCTATGAATATGCTGATCGGTTACATTGTGCTTAAACCTCAGCGTGTCAAGTCAGCCGCCCGAAATAAGTGAGTGAACCTAAGTGATAGTGGAAACACTGACGTCTGTGATGATACTGATGAAATGAGTCCTTTCATTGTGGATTTTACATCTGACTGTTACCAGTGAGCTAATAAGGTCAGATACTGCTGCATCCCTACTTTAAGGACCCTGTATGCATCTAAACACATTATCCACAGCTTCTATAAATCCCCGTGTGGGATCCCTCAGTTTGTACTTTCAGCAGGAAACTAAAAAGTCGGTTCTGAAGCCTTTTTCCCACCTGAGTGGACAGCCGTCCTCTCTCCATCTCCATCTCCATCGTCCCACGCTCTCCTAACTGCCCACCCTGCGTTGCCATGACAATCTACATTATCACCCTCACCATTCTTCATCGGCATCGCCATGGTGACTAAGCAGTGTGTTGCCATGACATGGGATAAAACAAGAAAAGTGCTGGTAGAGTGAGCGGCAGCAGAGCTCTGTGAGGCTGGGTGGTTTGTGTCAGTTTAAAGGGGCACTCCAGTGATATCACACATTAAAGGGGCGTGGTGTGGGTCAAGCTCCAACAGAACTGGATCCTACACTTCCCATAATGCAACTCGTATCTTTCATTAGACCCTGTTGGCCTGGTAAACATCCATGTCTTTCAATGACCGCAGTTTGGAATGCAGTTATACAATAATAACCCTGATGACATCACTATGATATCATTATTATTTACTCACCAGGACAAGTGAACCTTTATACATGTGTAGAATTGGTGGAGGGCCCCTTTAAGTCCCCGAACAAACCAGAAGCCGCATCCAGCGAGGTGTCACACTGATAACCCATTCACACCTCGGACCATTCAAACAATAATCCAGGTTTTCCACAGTCCCATGGCAGCCACACTCCTTATATAAATGACCAAGAATTCAGAGAATAGTTGTGGTATTTAAATGATGATCACATAGAGATTATATATATATGGATATTTGCAACAAAAAAAAGAAATGTATTTATGATGTGTGTGTCATCCTGAAGACTATTTTTCAAAAGTAATCAGGTCTAATCTGAGTGTTGAGTCGGTTTGCTTCTCCATGCTTAAGTGGTGCGAGCTGATGAATCGTTGTAGGATACCATGTTGGGATATTTCCAGGAAGCGTTGGTGTTTTTTTGTTTTTTTTCTTCTGCCTACATGTGTCCAGTTGTGGCAATGTGTATAATACAAGCCATTCTTGTTTTTCCGTTTTATTATTTTTGTATGATTTCAAATGCAACGTTCCGTTTGCTTTGCTTTTTTTTCTTTGAAACATGTGCCTTGCTTTGTGATTTTGGTCTGAGTACAATACAGTAGATGGGTATGTACAATGTATGAGGATCTCTCTCTCGTTCTGTTTTGCTCCCTTAGTTTATATGCCTCCCTCCCCTCCCCTCCCCTCCCCTCCCCCTCCATCACAGATGAGATGTGATATTTGAAACATAAAATCATCAGAACTCAACAGAACCCAGGTCATATCTTTCCACCGCTCTCTGTGCTGTTATTCAATCAGTAACACATACCGTTTTCATTTGGTCTTTTTAAAACTAAGTCCTCTCCATCTGATTGGACAATGAGAGAGTGACTTAATCCAATTTTGGCAACTTCACAGAACATTAAAGGTGCTATATTTTGGAAAATTAGCTCTTTTGCTTTCTAGCTGAGAGTAAGATGAGAAGATTGACACCACACATGTACAGTAAATATGAAGCTACAGCTGACAGCTGGTTAGCTTAGCATAGCATCAATATAAAAGACTGGAAACGGAGGATAAGCTAGCTAGCTCCAGAAAATTTATAGTATTTGTTTAATTCATACAATAGCCACTGTAAAAAACACTGTTGTGGTTTTGCATTACCTTTGGACAGAGCCAGGAAAGCAGTTTCACATTTCCAGGCTTTGTGCTAAGCTATGCTAACCAGCTGCTAGCAGTAGCTTCAAATCTAATGGCCAGAGTGGCATCAATCTTCTCATCTAACTCTCAGCAAGAAGCAATGTAACTCTACAGCAATGTAGGTGTATATTTGAATTGTCTTACATCTGGTCTCATCTGGGATGTGGCTCATTTTTTCCAACCTGATGTTTATGTGAAATTTCCAAGCACAAAGCAAGTATTTAAAATCTATGTTGTAGCACGTCATTGAATCCATGGCAAATCCCCTGACCAGAGGCTGTAAGGGGGTCAAAGGTCAACTCTACTTCTCTCACTGACTTCAACCACACACCGCTCTCTGAACTGGGCCCTGTCACGTTAAAGCAGCATTTAGCCCTTAGGTCTCATTTTGGTCATCTCTCACGATGTAGGCAGTATTTTTGAAGTGTGTTTGGGCGTGTGGGGATATTGGAGTCAGGCTACAAATGTGAAATACTGCAGATGGTGAAAAAAACAAAACACACACAGATGGTCAAATGTGTTGTGGAACAAAAGTACATCAAAAGTACAAGCTGTTTTTATTTGGTTTTTCCGGCTGTGCTTATCTGAACAGACACCAGACTGGTCTCCTCTGCTCTGCGGTGACTTTATGTGAATGCGTGAGAGAGGCCGTGTGTGCGTTCTGTGTTGCTCTGCTATTGACTGTATGAAACCTGTGTGAGTGTGTGTGTGTGTGTGTGTGTGTGTGTGTGTGTGTGTGTGTGTGTGTGTGTGCTAGTGACTGGACAGTGGTGTGCTTGCAGTGACTGCATCTTATGGCCATCTGCTCTGAATAAATAAATGTTCTATAGAAACTGCGCTGTCCTCAGCCTCCCTTTGTGTTGTGACTTCAACTTTGTATTTTCCTGCATTAGGTGGCTCTGGTAAAAAAAAGCTGTGACACCGACCCACCAAAATATTAAAGGTGCTAATTGAGTGATTTCCTCCGCCCGGCTCTCAACATGGCGATGGCTGAGCCGGCAGCTAGCAGCTAACGGTGATCACAGCCCAAACAGTGCAACAGTGCTGACCGTGCACCTTTAAGCAACTATTGATGAACATTCTATCATGAATACACAGATTTTAGTTAGTTTCCATTGGCTTGACCGAAAAAAAAATCCTGAACTCAAGGTCCACTTACCAGCTCTTTCCAAGGCTTTCAACCAGCATCTCATGGTCTTCATCATGACTTAAGAAACTTCGATGACATGATAGTAGCTGGTGGTTGTATATGGGGGGAGGACGTAACCCCTGTTTAGGTTCAATGTCTTCTTTTTACTTTTTTATGACACACTATATTGTGACTTTTCCATGACTTTTTAGGAAATACTATACTATGATTTTTATTTTTGTTTTAGGACATATAGGATTTTTTTTTATTTTAGGACATACTATACTATGTCCTTTTTTGTGTTGTTGTACTGACATACTATGCTATGACTTTTTTAGTACATTATTGTGACGACCACGCTGTTTGGTTCCTCTGCTGTGTCTTTGCTTTCTTTCTCCAGGGCAACAGACCTGATTGGGGGAGTAATCAGTAACGGCAGACTCACGTGGGCCCGGTGTCCCCCATCATGCATAAAAACTTGAGCAGCACAAGTAGTTCGCAGGCACACATCGTCTCACCCACATAACGGTTGTTCTGGTTCATGGTGTCTTTTCTTTGTTTCTATAGCAGAACACCAATTTTCAAGCACCTACTACCGACTTGACTCCTCCCATGCACTTGTCTTGACTTCTACTTTTTGGTTAATAAATCACTTTATTTGTTAAGTCTACCAGTGTGTCTCCCGTTTTTGTCACAAGGCTGTGACAAATTATTTCTTTCTTTTTGTGGCCATTTAGTTTTGCAGGTAACCTGAGTATCGCAGTTGTCCACATTTTTTCGGGACCTTGGCAGGCAGCATAGGTGAAGTATGAATGAAACGCACCAGAGACACGTTCCACTGATTACACCACGTGTCTTTGGTGTAATCAGTGGAACGTGTCTCTGGTGCGTTGGTACCACGTGACCAGAGTTTGTAGGTGGAATAGTGAGCTACAGGGAGACACGCGAGTATAAGTTGTCAGTATTGTGACTTTTGTTTTGACACTTGTAGGTCGTTTGTGGATTTTGGGCGCATCTGTTTTAATTCCCAGAACAAACTTATACTTCTGTGGCACATAACGCAGGCTGTCCTGCGCGTTCAACTTAGTTTTCTGAGCTTCCTCTCTGGTTTAGGCTGGAGAACCTGTTTCCCGTTGGTATTCGTTAAGGGTTTATTGGTAGTGTTGGAGTGGAAGTCTTAGGAGCACAGCCGTGGCTACCTAGGGATCGTTGCATCTCCTCGCCGTAAGAAGCACGCAAGTAGCTGGTTTATAGGGAGAAGTTTAGCTCGTATCTAGCAGCTCGAGGGAATGGCTCTAGTTTTGGTTATTGGGCATTTGGCTGTTGGTGCTTGCTGGTGCAGATCTCCTCTCGTTCAATAACCTTCTGTTGTGCCTTTTGGTTTGTTTTCTTTGTTTTTACAGCATAACACCCATATGAGGTGCACTTAATCAATGCCAGTAGCACTTACAGTGATTCTGACTGTTACCTTTCAATAGAGACCAAAACCATGCATGTACTCCAAATGGTTCAAGAACAGCTTTCAGTTTACTTTGGGTACGCCTTGGATAGGCGTTTTAGGCGAATTTTACAGGTTAAGAAGTGCTCCATTTATTTATTTGTTTAGAAAGTTCGGTTCTTCACGCACACGCATCAGTCAAGGCCGAAAATCAAAAACATTCTATGTTTTTGGCAAGTTCATTAAATTATCATTTTTAGAGGACATTATGGGGGCATTTTTTGCCCCTCTCCTAGTGATGTCAGGGGCAACATTATATTTCTTAGGGGCAGTTTTGCCCTTTGCCCTCGTGTATTTCCGACGCTGATTAAGACAATAAGTCTTTCTATTAATTGTTTTGTTTGCGTGGCACGTTTTACTGCTCTGATTGGAAGAAAAGATTACCCAATTTGCATTGTACTATAATTATAGTTTTGAACTATAACATAACATAAGTTTGCAGTAACATCTATTTATCTCCATCAGGAGGATTGTGAGATTGGTTGCGCGTGTCCGTGAGTGTGCATCTCTCGTCTGTCCACTGCAGGTGCTCATTTATTGCTGCATGCTCTATAACCTGCTCAAAAACATGAAATCCATTCGTTCAGATATTTTTACACATTCATATGGCGATACTTTGATTCCATAAGACAGAGGCAAGTTCCGTTGTTGAAATGAAACACAACAGCTCTGAAAGTGTACAACAGTTTTATTGATCAATGATCAACTCAGGCTTACATGATTACAAGTATACAAGGCATCACTGAAACCGTGACCAGTGCAGACACCAAGGCTACATTAAGTAGTGGCCAGTTCTGCAATTAAATGAAGGCAACAGAATTCTGAACATCTGTAAAAACCTAATTTAGCCCACGTGTCTAAATGGATGTACATGATCTTAAGACTACCCTCCCAGGTATATTTAGTCTGTTTTCATATTTTTAACCCAATATGGGTCCTGAAACATAATTCAGGAAAGCAGGACTTCACTTTAGCTCAACAGCACTTTCTTTTAAGTTGCCTTTTGGGACTTTAAAAGGTTAATTACACACAATCACCGGCTTGCCTTCAGCGTCAATCCGAGTATTACAGTCAAACAATCAGAATTAATCTGTGGTTATGTTCATTCTAACCCGATTTAGGTCAGAGAGTGGGGGAGAGGCAGAAAAAGTTAGTCTTTCCTTAGTTTTCATCCGGACATATGGCACTCATTGAAACACACTTACATATACACAATAATGAACACGGACCGTCTTCCCTCTCCCTGTCCCCCTCTCTTATGTAGGCCAGTGTGAGTCACTCTCATGGGCGCGTGTCCAGGCGCGGCGATATCTTATTTTACACGACTGTACAACCCTTAATGGCTCTGAATACAGCTCTATCATGGCACTAATATAAAACTCAGTAAATCTATAGATCTGTCATTCTCTTAATAAAAGGTGTTTTTTATAAAAAGGCTGGTTTCACAGCGTTCTGGGTGACGACCACAGTGATCAAAGAGGGAGGAAATGTTGGCAAACATGCATCCTGTTTCATCACGACATTCTTTATTCATAATTAACTCTTTGTGAGACCAGAGACCAGAGACGTACACATAAGAACCATCAAACAGATTGAAACCGGGGTCTTTTAGTGTCACATTAAAGGAATAGTTTGGATGGAAGTGGGGTAGTATGAGCAGTGTATTTCTACAGTAGATGGCGTTTGGAAATACTTTGATTTGAGGGTTACTTCGGATTGACCAATCGAAGCAGCGGCGGACCAGTGACGCAAGGTTCTGCGAGGTTCAGTTCCCCGTCAGAAAAGGCCACCTGACAGCAAGATAAAGTGGTAGAAAAATTCCCAACATAACATACACTTAAAACTGATATTGATTTTATTTAGGTGTTTCAAATACATTTCGCTGCCGCCCCCGTCCACCGCAGTACATTGTTTTTGATACCGTGCTAGTACTCCTGTCTGTTTCTCCAAACAGATGACGTGCCGATGGCCATCTATATAATATACCGACTACAACCTGACTTCAAAGCAAAGTCCAAACTACCTGTTTAAAGGAAGGATGGTGCTTCTTCATGGGAATTGCGAAAATACAAAAAAAAACATCTGTTTAAACTCTTTCATGTTCTGTGTATCGGGACTAAATCTCGAGTACAGGTCAAAGTAATCTTCATGTACATTTTAACATAAAACTTCCGCTGCCTCATTTGCACAAAATAACCTAGTCCCAATTCCTTGTTCTGGTGTGGTCGGGATGCATAACGTATAGATTTTTGAAGGAGTGTGGTGTCGCTCCCCGTTTGTGAAACCAGCCTTTAGACATATTTGAACAGTGAGCATCAGGCATCATCAGTACAGTTCTTAAACGGCAGGTGTTTCCGCAGGAAGCAGGACTAGAATTTGAATACTCTCTGCTTCCCGGGTGCAGCGTCCAGTCGATCTTGGTTTTTGGTGCGGTGCAACTGTAAGGCCGCTCGTCAAATTTTTGCCCCGTAATGCACCGGTGATGAGGTCCCGTCAGGAGCGCGACTTCGAGTTGGCCGTCGGAGGGCTCGTTTGAAGTTTTAAAAGCAACATTACTCAAACGGTTTCCGGAGTGGCGGTTGTTATTATTAGTCTGCGGCCGTTTAAATCTCAATCAAAGAAACGGGTGTGTGGGTGTGGGTGGGGGGGGTCAATTGGAAAGGTTACCGTTCGTAAAGAAGTCGACTGGACTCCTGCAGAACTAACGGTTTGTTTAGCATGTCCACACCTGGAAGAGAGAAAGAAATCACTTTAGAAAATACAACAAAGCAGTATATATGCAATATATTATAAAATGAAATAACGTTTAATTGTAAAGAAAAGGGATCCCAAGGAAAGAAAGATCAAGAAGAATACTGAGATGTATCCAGAATAGCTATAAAAAAAAAGCACATTTTTGTGATATGAACTTGTGATGCTTTTGTTCCGACACTTCTTCTACAAAGCTGATCAACGTCTGTAAGGTTCAGTTCGATGTGTTGAAGAACACAAGATGTAAAGAAAGGATGCTGGATGGATGAAACACGAGTAGTGACTGATGTTAGAATCACGATGAACGTTCACTGGATTCCTCGAGCAGCGGAATAAAAAGGACAGACGGATGAACAGAAGGTGGAGCAGCAGAAGGAGACGATGACCGGCGGTACCTTAACGGTGCTGTCGACGGCTCCAGAGAAGAGGCGCCCTCTGGAGACGGCCAGAGCCGTGACGCTGCCCTGGTGTCTCAGCAGGGTCTGGGTGCAGATCATGTTGTCCATGCTCCACACCTGGATATAAAAAAAACACACACACACACACACACACACACACACACACACACACACACACACTTTCATTATGTATCTTATACAAACTCTACTTTCAGCCTCTCCTCTAAAAGGTTTTGATGTTATAATATTAACCTTGCATCCCAAAAGTTGCTCTTGTGTCCTGAGAGGCCAAAACTGCCATTGTTTTTGCACTTTCACTAAGTTAAATCTATAAACCAACTTCAAATATTCATTCAGTTTCAGAATGTTAACCCTTTATATACTAGTTTGTTTACATAATGTCACTGTTTTATTAGGGAAAACTAAATATAAATGCCACATGTTATGCACATTCTGGGACATGTCAATGATTACAGTGTCTGTATTTTCAGCTACGCGACGATACAAAAATAAATTGAATTTAATTTGAAAAGAAAGTCGCACCCTCGCCAAAATTCATGCCATATGCATTAACAGGGCCAAAACGATCAAAAGATCAAAATGTTCTCAGGGTAACAAACACATCATCACATGTGTATGAATGAAGTATATTCCGTCTCTCCACACGAGACAGAGAGACGGAGACACACACACACACACACACACACACACACACACACACACACACACACACACACGCAGTCCGTCCTCACCCTGAGTGAGCGGTCGTAGGAGGCGCTGAACACTTTGGTCTGGTCTGGAGTGGAGATCACGGCGAGAGCGTAAACTGTCCCCACGTGACCCGTCAGGGTCCGCACCTGCTCTTTAGACTCAATGTCCCACACCTGGAGAGAAGACAAACGCCATCATCGTCACTAAAAACAACAGCATCGGAGTCAAAGTAAGCAGCTGCTTAATTGTGGTCTGGCGTTAATGTGTCTTGAGGGCATTTAACCGCATCGTTATAGAGGAGAAGACGTATGTGAATATAATGTGAATACTCAGAGAGGCGAGAAAAAGAGAGAAAACAGCAGCTCAGTATAATTGGAGTCAGAAACGACCTCATGCTTTGTGAGCAAGGGCGGGACACATTCTACTTTTGCTCGTGAGGCAGCAATGAAGAAAAGTAAAAGAGCAAAGCATGTGTGTGTTTCTCCCTTACGTGGATGAGGTTTTCATAGGTGCCACAGACGATGTGGTGGTTGGTGACGGCGATGGAGTAGACGCTGCCCCCGCTGGTCTGCAGGACGTGAACACACTCCAGAGAGCGGATGTCCCAAATCTGACAGACGGGGAGAGAAACGGAGGGAGTCAGAGAGGGTGATGGGTAAAGAAGAAGAAGACACTTTAAAAGAGAACGAGGAGGATGGAGAAGTGGAGCTGAGAGCGAGTGAGGAGCGGATGGACACACACACACACACACACACACACACACACACACACACACACACA